CTAGCTGGCTAGCTGTATGATAACGTTAGCTAAAGCTAACCTAGCTGGCTAGCTGTATGCTAACGTTAGCTAAAGCTAACCTAGCTGGCTAGCTGTATGATAACGTTAGCTAAAGCTAACTTACCTGGCTAGCTGTATGCTACATGCTAGCATAAAGACTCAGCTCAGGATTCTGACTGGAATAATAAATAATAGCAGATGAAGTGCTGTTTATTGCTAATGCAGATGTATTTTCATGTTTTTTGTAAACACCTGTATGGCCTTTCATGCGTTTGAAATAAAATAAACAACATCTATCAAACTTTTGACTGCCTTTTTTTATATACACAGTACTTGTACTTTTACTTATACTTGTACTTTCGATACTTGAGTAGCAATTTTTTAAATACCTCTACTTGCAATACTTAAGTACAAAAAAAAATGGAGTACTTCCGTACTTCCACTTAACTCTGGAGGTGAAAGAATACTTCTACTTTTACTCAAGTCATTTTTTTTACATAGTACTTGTACTTCTACTCCACTCCTCTACTCCAGTACTTTAAATATCTCAGCTCACATCACGGAAGAAATATCCCGAAAAAAAGCAGAAACATGCCCATTGTGAGCCAAACTCAGTATGCTTGAGAGTCCACGTCCCGTGGAACATAACATCTGTTTCCATTAGGTCCGATTATAGTAACAAACTAAAGCTCCACAGGCGTCACATGCTCATGATTTCACTTCCAATCTGCTGCTGCTAAAAAAAAGAAAAAGTCCAATTCACTGGAGAGTGAAATTCAATCCGCATAATCTCTCACATTGGAGAAACATCAAACCACAGCGCTTAAACTAAGATATTTCTGGGAGCTGCAATACAGCTTTTAGTTCTCAGTTTACAGAGTTTACATTCTGGGCAGATAGCTCACCGGGAAATCTGTGTTAGAGCAATTTATTTGGCCGCTCATAACAGCTCTGGAATTAATACCCAACATGGATTTTCATTGCATTTCCCGAAACAGCCGAGAATAGCGCGTGTCTCCACAAATCAGGCGGTGAGTTAGGCCGCGTCCTCGATTTCGTTTTGCTTTCAGAGGAAATTGGTCCTAATCTCGCATGTACTGAAGCTCACGTTTGTCTCAATTTTGAGAATATGGTTAGAAAGCAGAATACTGCAAAAAAAAAACATTAAAAAAACAGACTTGATTTCTTACTTTTTCCTTTTGAAATTGTTTCGTTTGTTCTGATCAAAAGAAAATATTTGCATATTTGTACTTTCATTTTTGTTCCCCATCAAAAGCAGGTTGTTGATTTGACTAAGAGTTCAAATAGAAATATATAATATTTTAGTTTTGTGATATTTCAGACCAAACAGGGTGTGATATTAATAGTCTCAATTTTGAGAATATGGTTAGAAAACAGAATACTGAAAAAAAAAACATCCAAAAAAAACAAACTTAATTTTTTACTGGATTCCTTTTGAAATAGTTTTGTTTGTTCTGATCAAAATAAATTATTTGCATATTTTTACTTTCATTTTTGTTCCCCATCAAAAGCAGGTTGTTGATTTGAATGATAGTTCAAATAGAAACGTATAATATTTTAAGTTTGTGATTCTTCTTAATCTCACATGCACTGAAGCTCACATGTTTGTCTCAATTTTGACAATATGGTTAGAAAACAGAATATTGAAAACACAACCATCCAAAAAAAAAAAAATTGATTTTTTTACTTGATTCCTTATTAAATTGTTTTGTTTATTCTGATGAAAGAAACTATTTGCATATTTCTACCTTAGTTTTTGCTCCCCATAAAAAGCAGGTTGTTGATTTGACTAAGAGTTCAAATAGAAATATATAA